CTTTGCTCTGGCTGGAGCTGTAATAGGAGATACCGGGGCATTTACTTGAGCACTTCAACCTGCAAAGCTTTTGCCCTACTACCGTGCTACAGTCCTTCCATAAAGGTAAAGTAGGTTTCTAGTCCTCATGGTTCTGAACAAAGGGCAGATTTAAAATGCGAAGCAGGAAGCAGCCTCCTGCCAGATCAGAAGCATCAGTTCATCAGACTCAGGGTTGTCTACCCCAACTGGCAAATCATCTCCAGGTTTTGTTCTTGGAGAAGTTAGGCACTGAACCGCTGTCCTTCTGAAATTTGAAGCAGGAAGTCTACAACTGACCCAAGATCCTCTCTGGGAGACACTCCCAAATCGGCAACCCATGCGGGCAGAGCAGCAGGATCTTCTAAAGATGGGAAGCTCGCTTGCCAGGGGAGCCACTTTTTTCCATGTCTGTTTCCAGTTTAGAGCTCTGCAGCTGGGACAGAACATTCCCCCTTCCCAAAAGTGATGTTTTTGGGTGTTGTGGGGTTCATACTGGCCTCTTCCCCATATTTGGGCATCCTCAGGGTCTCCTTGGAGGAAGGGGCACACACGTGCTATGGCTCCCACGGCCCCGCAAGATTCCCCGCAAATGGTGGGAAATGAGCTTGCCGCTCACGTCCTCCATCGCTGTGCAGGGAGAGACAGAAGCCCCTTCCCCCGACTCCTCTCCAAAGTCAGAGCAGCTTTCCGAGAAAGCTAGCTGCTGACTAGGGCCGTGCTTCCTGGCTTTGAAAGGGAGAGATCTTATGGGAATGAGTTCTCATCTAGCATTTCAAATCCCTCAAAATCTCCGTAATCTTGTTACTGCAAAGAACTCCAGTCGTCCCCGCTATGTGCCAGTTCATCTGACAGACAAAATCACCCAAACATCTGTTGTGCAGGCCACGAGACCTTTCTTCGCCAAGCGGCGGCTGCAGCTTAGTAGGGACAGCTTGTTTCCCCTCTTTCCAAAAACCTGGTTGTGAAATACAGACTGAGCGTGGGGGAGACTGCCTTTTCCCAAGACCTGCAGGGTTAGAGCTGAGGGGAGACCAAAAGATCCAAGACAGCTGCAAGGAGACGGGAAGGACTGTGCCGTACTTTCCTGAACGACCAAATCACTGTTCCTTTGCTTGATTTGACTGCATTTTTCATCCAACCTGTTGCCCCACCTGGGCCACTGGCCTTCCATCTTGGGCCTTCCTCGATCATCTTCTGCCATTTGGTGCCTGCCTCTTCCGGTGACCGGCAGGCCCTCTCCGCCCACGTGCTGCCATGCATTTTTCTCACCTGCACACCCTTTGCCTCCTGCCCTGGCCCGCCTCTTCTCTTTCCCCGCTCGTGTGTTTTCCTTCGCTCACTGCACACTGGACCAGCTGATCTGCTGTGCAGAGTGGAGCTTTGGCACCCTCTTCAAAGGTTTGTCCTGCTCGGCCCCACCAGGCCCACAGTCCTTCGGCATTGTCCTTGGGGCTCTTCCCCGTCTCAGCACCTGCCTCTTTCCAGCTCTGGGGGAACGTGCATTTTCTCCCCACTGCGCTCACGGATTCCACTCAAGTCCCCTCCTGGACGCCTCGTCATCTCATAAACTCCGTTAACCTGCAGAAGGGGTGTGTGTACTTCTCCACACCTGCTTCACATCTACCCTTCAGATGTAATAGCATAATCAGAGGGATGTGCTTCAATTACAGTTGCCAGTCAGCCGGACTTTTAATGGCTTGGCCAGTTTCATCTACTGGGCCAGTTGCCAGAAAATGTTCACGCTGTGATCATTTTCAGGATTTTACTACTTTCTCGAAGATCTTTGAAGGACAAATATATTCTGGAGCATGCCCAACACATCTCTGTATTTTAACCTTTTTAGCCACCACTTTCTTTTAAAACAGTCATTCTGCTCATGCTCAGAAAACAAATTTCCTTTAGACACTTTTGGATGGCCATGCTAAGGGTATTTCCTGCTTGTATGGTTAATTTGCACCCTAATGCTAAAAATACAAAATCATAAGATTGAAAACATATTAACTATTTGTACAGGTAACAGCATGTCCAGGGGAGAGTTATTTTTAAGTAAACACCCACAGGATCATGCAATTAAATCTTTTTGAAAAATCCTATGTTTTGCTCATTAAAAAAACACTTTGCATATGCTCAGAGCCAACCAACCTAGGGTGGCAAAGCTGCTCCTTGCCCCAAAAGGAAGCTTTGCTCCCAGATGAATCAGTGCCAAGTGTGGTCATCATTTAATGCCCATGTCTGCTGCTTTGGGTGGCAATTCAAAGCCCAGTTTTCTGGGAGTAAGACCCATTGAACTCAATGGGGCTTACTGCTGAGTAGACGGGTACAGGATTCTGTGACTAGGATGCAGGATTCTGCAATCCTGTTTGGGGATGGCAGAATCCCAGGATCACTGCAGAACAGACAGAGAGAAGGAAAGAAAGAAGTTGCAAGTCTGGGGGGCATTTTTATGAGACTGCTGGTGTTCCTCTGCTTGTAACAGGCTACAGTGGTACCTCGGCTCACGGACTTAATCTGTCCCAGGACTCTGGTCGTGACCCAAATTGGTCGTGAGCCAAGTCCAATTTCCCCATAAGGTTCAATGTCGATAAGGTTAATCCGTTCGGTAACTTTATTTTTAATCACAAAAATTTGAAGCAAAGTGGCAAAGAACAACAAAGATCGCGACCATCTCCCCGCTGCCCGAATGCGATTGTGCCAATGTTCCCTGCACGAGCGCGGCCATAGACGGGTGCAATCGTGGGAGCGCTTGGGGGGGGGGGGGGGGGGTGCTCACGATCGTCATCTGATGCGGAGTTCATGACCCGAGGCAGAATTTTTTAGAAATTTCTGTTCGCGACCCAATTTGGTCGTGAGCCAAGGCACCACTGTATATTGGATATGCTGACTGTCAAAATGGGGAGAGGCAGGAAGGCTGCCCCCCAGCCTGTTCCATCTGCCCTCATACTCAGCCGAATGCTGGGCCTCAGAGCTGCCACAAAGAAGGGGTGGGGAGAACTTTCAGCAGAGAATCCTTGGGTGGGAAAGGGGTTGCTAGCGTTTGCTGCACCCCACAGCTGCTTCCTAACATTGCTCTTGCTCATGTGTACGTTCTTTCTATTCGTATCCCTCCCTTCTATTCGTATCCCTCCCTAAATCTGTAATGTGAGAATACTGTCCTCCCTGGCAGGGTTGCTGTAGGGACTGTGACTGATGCAGGTGGTACAGCGTTGCCTTGACTGTACAACTTCAGACAGCGAAGTGGGGACACAGGGAGGCCCCATTTCAAAGTCAAACCCCCCGGCATGCAAAAGGGGAAAACCCCCAGTGCACTGAGGAGGAGGGTGGAGCTTAGCTGTTCAGCTCCTGGCATTTATTAGTCCGCCACTCTCCCACAGCGGATCATGCCCAAAAGAGCACCTGACACACAGTACCCCTTTCAAGGAAGTTGCACTTCAAAGCTGGAATGTGCTGAGCAAATTCAAAGAGAAGAGAATCCACCAAAACTCAAAGGAAAACCTGCCAAATACGCTCATTTTCTGACACACGGGGTTGAAACGCACACACACAAAGGCAGCGCACAACCAGACCACAGCATCACCTCGCTTCCACAACAGCTACTCCAGGGACACCTTCAACCATGCAATGCCCCTGGCCTACACCGGAGCCAAAGAGGCCACGAATGGGTTTCACAGCAGCACGTGGAAACACGGCGGGGCCTCTGAATGGCCGCCCTGCCATTTGGCGCACCCTTTTGACCTGCCCTGCCGCCACTCTTGCGCTCCTCTGATGCGTTGGGCTGCTCCATGCGAAGTGCAAGGGCAGCTGGGTGGACGACTGGCTGGGCGCCCAGCCTAGCCTGGCACCATCTGGCCACTGCCCGGGCCCCTGCCTCGACGGGGGGCAGCACTGCCGCGCCGTGGCGGCTGCTAACTCGCTTTTCCGGCTGCTGCTGACGAATGGTCCACTGCTCCCTGAATCGGCACCCTCAGACTCAAACCCTGAGGAGACGCGTCCAATCCTGGCCCATCCTGACTAGCTCAGTGGGTGCTGGGTTCCACGCTGAGCCTGCGTGGTCCTGGAGGTGTCCCCTTTGCCTCAGACTTGGAGGGATGGGCCAGTGACCCCCGCTGAAGACCACAAACAACCTGGAGGCCTGTCTCAAGCCATCCCCCGTCTTGTGCCGTCCAACCGTTTTGGAATGCAACCGCCGTCCTCCGCATTCAATGGGCATGTGGGCTGGGGCTCATGGGTGCTGCAATCCAAAACATCTGGAAGGGTGACCAGGTGGGGGCTTGGATGGACCTGGGCCCTGAAGTGGTGCTGCACTCAGCAGGTCCCGCTGGTCCGAGAAGTCCCGGGTCAGCCTCCTCTTCTCTCACCTGGGCCGCCACATCCTCTGCACAAAGGTTTCTCTGGATTGGGGCCCAAACCAAGAAAGGAATGAGGAGATATGGGAATGGCCTCAGGAGATCTTTCCCTCTCACTCTGGGGGAGATGCATATTGTGAAAATGTTGCAGAAAGAGGGGTTGCAAACAGGGGGGACTGGTCCTTTGAGGGCACCATGATTGAGGGACCCCCCAAAACCTGGCACATTGGGCGAGCTAGCTTAGGCCAACGGCTGACTTGCCAGACTCTATATTCTGAATTCTTTTAAATGTGTTATTTGTAGGATAATTATTAGGGCCTTCAGTAAAGGCACGTGACTGTTATATACACATATAAACACGGTCATCAGCAACCTTGGCTTTAGGTTCTTGCTTGGGGGTCATTTTGCAAAAGACTTTTTGCTTCAAAGACTGTAAAACTGGAAGCACGGTTTAGACAGACAAATGGCATGAGGGATGAGATGGCAAAAGCCACGAAGATGCAGAGAAACAGGGAGAGAGAGACAGAGAGACTGAGGATGGGAGAGGAGGAAGTCTGGCAGAATGGAACCCCAAAATGGCGGGGGAGGAAGCACAACCCATGAAACGGACAGGAACAAAAACACACAGGAACTAACTTTCCAGGTCAAACTCAGGGTCACTGAGAGGGCTGCTGAGACCAGAATCTGTAGAAAACAGGAAAACAAAAAACAAACAAACAAAAAAAAACAAAATATATATACTTTTATATAAAAAAAGCTATGCAACCAAGAAAAAATGAACAGAAAAAAGCAACACAAATTTAAGAGGAAATGGGAGGGGGCTGCTAGTGGGGATGTCCTTTTATTTTTTCCTGTTCCTCTTTTTTGTGGGTGGGGCAGGCATTGTTTCAAGTTCTTCATCCATGCGAGGGAAATGCCAGAAGGGATGGAAGGACGAAAGGAGACGAAGACTGAAGAGAGTGGGGCGGCAGTTTTGATTGCAGGCTGTTTCCCCACCACTGATGGGGCACATGCTCTATAACCGATGTGATTATATTTGTTTCCACCACTCCCAACTGAAGTAAAGTTGCATTGAGAAAACAAATACTTTCTGTCCTCCATCAGCACAAAGGTCATTGTATGTTAATTTCTGAACAAGTACTATCCAGTTTCTATCCCCAAAATTTTGAGCCGTGAATTCAGCTCCCTTTTGTCTTTACCCATCATGTTCAGCTGGAAATTCATACCTAGCCTCCTTCATTAAAAGAATACATGAATATCACACACTAACGTGCACACACCATACACATGTAGAAGCAGGTATCTATGATCAAAAAGGGGGGTTATCCTTGCCAAACAAAGGAACTGGAAGCAAAGAAAAGTCCAGTGCAAAGGTTGCTCAAATATTTATATTCCCCCCCCCCACAAAAAAACCTGAAAGTTAATCAAGCAGGGGATATGTATGAAACATACACACAGATAAAGACAGAGGTTTTGCCTTGCTACCTAGTAAGCATAAAACTACCTTCTAGGACATCTCATTATTACTAAGTTCAAATCTACCCCTCTTTCTTCATAGGGACTTACGCAGTCCCCTCCCCGCACCAGCTGGTCCCCATGACTTACTCTCAGGTGGATCATCACAGAAATGTGGGGACCAACCTGGCCTCAAACAGAGAAGGGACCTTCTTTTACACACACACTTGCCAGGGTGAATGTCTAAAAAATCTTCAAAAGGATGGACTGCCGCCTCGGTGTTGCTTCTTCTCTTTTTCCTCCTCCCTCCTTATCTCTTTTCTTCTTGTGCCATGTCTTGTAGATTGCAAGCCCACATGGCACCAGCTGTTTTGTTATTAAACTACACGAGGTACTTGGGATTCTCTTTTGGCTACGGAGCAGGGAAATTCTGCTGTAGCATTAAGTAAAACCCAGTGCTTTTCTGATGCCTTAGACTGCAGGCCTCTTCCCCGTGAGCACCGTCTGTGCAAACTGGTAGGAACCATTGACCAAAACACTTAAGAGGGCACAGAGGGCTGCTGTACTCGACTAAGTAAAAGCAGAAGGAACTGAAAGTGAAGCTCAGGGAACCCAGGTTCCATTTGGATGCCAGGAAGTGCTTCCTGACAGTCAGGACCCCGAGGGTGTGGACTAGGCTTCCCCGGGAGGTGGTTGAGGCCCCATTGGTGCGGGTGTTCAAGGACAGGCTGGACGTCCACATGGTGGGCATGTTGTGAGCGGAGAGGGCTGGAGCCAGGGGTCAGACAAGATGGCCCAGGAGGATCCTTCTGACTCGCTCTGTTTCTATGTTTCTATGAAATAATCCCATGCAGCTACCTCAGTTCCCTCATCTTCCTCCACTGCTGCACCCTATGCCAGATGTTAGATTTGTAAGCTCCTCTGGGGCAGGGATCTGTCCTTGTGTACTGAAATAACATTCCCCCTTTCTGTTCCTGCCTCAGTCTCCCTCCCTGCTTGCTCTGTTGTTTTGCACTGTGCTGAACTGTGGATTGTAGGCTGCTTGGGGCAGAGTCTTTAAGTCGGAACAACTTGAACTGAAGAATTTGGGCAACTGAGATGGACTGAACTTTGAGAGGGAAGTCAGGAGAACTAAGACAAGTTCAAGCTGATTCACAGAACTCGAAACTGTCCAATTCTTAGAGACTTCCTGCCTACTCCCAGAGTTCCTGGGCGAGGCATTTCAGCAATGGATTCGAATCCTTCCACCTCATCTGGTCCCACCACGTTTAAAGGCTCTTTCATAGGAGTGGGCCCAATCCGTACAACCACTTCAGTACATTCAAACTTTTGTGTGAGATCATGAGGACTAAAACCTTACCCTTGTATCACACATGCAAAAGTAATGCTGAATTTCTGCAACCAACTGCCTGTTCTGGGGGTGCCCCCTGCACAACACATACAGAAAACCCTTCTGCCTGATTCTCTAAATCTCTAAATTAGAAATACCAATTTACAAAAAAAGAAGTCAGGGTCGGGCAGGGCGGGGGGAAATGGGGCAAAAGGAGGAAAAAAAGGTGAAGTGAGACCCGGAAGCTGGTTTCCTCCGGGCAGAGGGAACACATGACAACTCAGCTTGGAGGCGGAGGGCACCTCCCCGTGGCTGGGAACACGGCACTCCCACAAGCTTTGCGAGGGAGAAGAGCAGAAAGATTTTGTACACGTGTCAGGAAACAACACCATGCAGAGAACTGCTGGAACCAGCAATGCTTTTGACCCAGTGTTCCTGATGCCCTCTTGCACACGGGAGGGAACGCCTCTTTTGAGACAGCACCGAGGCCTTCTGGAGCAGCATGGCACATCTTGGAATTCCCCACTCACTTTCTCAAGGATGGGAATGCCTCTTTCAAAGTGAAACAGATGCTTTTGGGGCCTGCCTGATGAATGTCTGTGCTATTATCTGTATTTATCCATTACATTTCTTTACCGCCCATCAGATCAAAGGTTCCCTGGGCAGATTACGCTGTCCCTTCAGAAGAGCCCTTCTCAGTTTCTTGCCACAGAGAAGGGAAAGCCTCTTCTGCAAGAGCACATGCTTCTTGCTGATGCGCACACACATGCATTTTTGCTTAATGAGCAAGATGCTAAACAAGACACCTTCCTTCTCACACAGGAGGAAATGCCTAGTTTGTCTCTTTCCGGCTGCATTTTTTGAGAAAAAGGCACTGGTATTAAAAATAATTAAAAGCTGTGTTTTTAAAATATGCCCCCCGATTAATCAGAGGTATCTTTTTAAACTGATAAAAATGTTTTAATTGCTTTGCTTAATGAATCATTTAATGGATCAAAATAATTAGGGTTCTAAGCCAAGCTGAATTTTGTGGAATAAAAGAAAAATATCAGAGTTGCACATTCATTCAGCCTCTTATTTTACATAATTTATTCAACATTTTTAATCACCCCATGTGATTTATCCTGGTTTTGCTGACCCTGGGAAATGCTGGGTGGGTGGGATTATGAGGGGCATTTGCCAACCAAAAATCTGATCTAGCTGTTCTGAGATTTCAACTGGCAATATGCATGTGCTTTCAAGCCCATCTTGGAACAATCAGAGCTAGGAACTTGGCTTTTTAACAGTAAGCAGACATTATCACAAAGCTGCCTTCATTGTCCAATACCATCTCTCCTGCAACTTTCCTGTTGGCATGGGAAATGGCATGCACGGCTCTCCCCTTGCAAACGGGATCCCATGTTGGGAAGGGCTGCAAAGCCCGCTGCCACGAGTTTGTGGCACATGGGCAGGGTTCCTACCTTGCCTGCACCATGCCCACCCACGATCGCGCTTCCTCCAAGGCCCTCCTGGGGATGCCGGGTAGCTGGCGGGGCGAGCTGGGTGTGGGGCGGTGTGTGGCCATTACCTGGGGTCTGGAAGTTGATGCGCCGCATCTCCACGGGGTCCTTGGGGTGATGGGGCGTGATCTCAGCATTGTTCATTATGCACTTAATCCGGGGCTCGGAATCCTTCCGTTTGCTGAGGAGAAGGAGCAGAAAGAGACGGGAAAACAAGAGAAAAACACGACCGGGGAGAGATACAGGTGGCTTCTTTGAGCGTAAGGGCTTCCTTACGCTCACCGTCTTCCCTGAGTTGGAAAACCACAGCCACAGGGCCAAATCCAAGATTCTGGGGGTCTCTGCTGGCCGTATACCCCAGCCCCTTCCCTGCCAACCAAACGCTGGGTGATTTCCTGGCTTTTGAGCAGTTTCTCTCCAATCTAAAAGTCCGAATGGCCTCTCCTGACACTTACTTACTAGAACCACTTTAACCTACAACATTCAGGGGTTTGCTGAAACTGATTCTGGCCTTGGGATAGATACAGGGCATTTCTCAGCCCTGGCCTACCTAAACGCTATTTTTGTTAGCCAGACAATCCACTGGGAAGCCATGCAGACTCTAAGAGTTCCCCAGACTTCTTATAGCTGAGGGTAAGAAACCGAAAGCACAGTTTGCAAACCTGAGTTGGCCAAATATTGAAGTATGAAGAGGGCCTTTTGAAATCAGAACAGACCTAGAGAGGTTATGCAGGAAAGGAGGGATTAACTCTGACAGCTCAATCAGAAGGTGGAGACCTCTTGGCTAGTCCTGGGGTGTCCACTGCAAATGTCCTCCCTTAGGAACAAACATTTTTGCTGCTTGATTATTTGAAAAGGGTCTGCAAGGTCATCTAGTCCACCCCACTGGCAATCTTCTATCAAATGGAATTGTGAAATAGCCCTTTTTTGTCATTTGAACCTATTGTTTTGGGTCATACCTTCTGGACACCTATTCACTCCAATTTGTTTTCAACAGATTGCTATCATATTGAACTGGTTTGATAGAATGATAATGCAGGTTAGGCATGGATTGCTGTTGAATCATGGACTGTTGTTATGTGTGAACCCTGTGGGTTGTTGATTGTGAACAATTCACAGTTCACAACCTGTGGGATCTCCTCCTGGGTTGCTTGTGGCTGATAACCCCTACCTAAAACTTAGTGCAGAGTTCACAAATAACAACAGCCCACAGTCATGATTCACTGACAACCCACACTCAGCCCATGATCTGAGTTGTCACTGCATGCTAGGCAGGCCACTGCAGAGAATGGAAAGCCAGTAAGTTAGCAAGCCCAGTGGTTACAGTCCAAAGGCCTAGAGAAACAGTTCGGCCTCCCTTGGTTTACTTTGCCTGACCCTCTCTCTAGATTATCCTTCCCCAAATCGGGACCTTCCAGACCCTGGAATCATAGATTAGCAGGCCATCAGGTCCAACCTCCTGCTGTTGCAGGACACCAATTTCCACCATCTTAACTGGACAACAGCTCCCACCATCCCCAGGTGTTGTAGGGCATTGGCAGATGCCATGGAGTGTGGCCAAGGACGTGTCTCCTCCCCCACCTTTCTTGGAAATGTCACAATATCATCCTTTTTTTGGGGGGGGGCACTCTTTTTCTCTTTGAGGGTTTAAGCTGGCCGGCCTTTGATCTCCACTGACATTTTAACAGTTCAGCCCTGTCTTGAAGAGCTGTGTTTGTTCCGTGGGTTTGCATTCTGCTTTCTAATGGTGCTCCTGACTTCCACCTGGATTGCTTCCACCGGAGCAGACGGAGCCCCATGTAAATCCTTACCTGTCAGGCTTGCTGTCCGGGGAGCGTTAAAAAAAAAACGAAGTGGAAGAAAAGAAAAGACAAACAGGAGGGTTAGAAAGGGAGCAGCAGCTGTGAAGCCCCACAGTTCCCCTGGGCAAACCCCACAAGCCAGGGCTCTCCACCAGCTGACCACCTTCCATACGTGGTGCTCTACTGTCTCATAGATTTCCTAGGCTGGAAGCCAAGCAGACAAGGGAAAGTAAGGACTCAGGGCATCCAGGTTCTACTCTCCAGTCAGCCAGGAAGCTAACAGGGTGACTTGCGGTCCGAAATAAGCCTACCTCACAGGGCTGTTGTGAGGACAAAATGGGGAGACGCTTACTAGGTGACTCTGGGGCCAGCTGCTGCTCCTGGCCTACCTTATAGGATTCTGCGGGGGAGAAAAGGAGAACAGGAACAAGGAGATGCAAGCAGTTCTGGGTTCCTCGTAAGGGGAAAAGCTTCCTTGCCTGAAATGCTGGACAGCCTGGTCTGTGCTGGCAAGACAGAGCTAACTGATCCAGTAGCCTGGCTCTGTTCCTATTTAAACAAGCTCTGTTCAAAAACATGAGGACTAGAACCCTTTTTTTTAAGGGGAAAGGAAAGAGCTCCGCATCAGAGCACAGATTGGCCAAATGTCCAACCAGTACAATTTCATTTATGGTAGGAAGCAGAGAGAAAACAAGTTCCTCGCCTAGCAGAGTGGATGTCACCATGCTAGTTCCGATACAAATCTGATCCGTGCATTTCTGAGCAGGTTCAGCTTGAGAGAGGCATGCCTTCCTGCAAGCTTATCTTAGGACAGGGAGAATCGTGGGAACAGTTTGCTGCTGGCTGAAGCTGGCCTTTTCTGTCCTGAAGAGAAGCAGCCAAGAAAAGAAGCTTTGAAGGCGCTCCTGATTTGCCGGGCTTAGCAGCGAAGGAGCTGCGTGTTTGGTGGCAGGCGCCAGCTGGTGGGGCCAGGCATTTGCGGGGAGCAAACCAAGCTCTGACTTGGTCCAGGTTGGAGCATGGCGCACAAGCAGAGCATGGCGCGCTGGTTACGCCTTCTAAGACGGCACCTACGCAGTTCAGCCAACTTTCTTTCGCTACCCCTGAATGGCGCGACTTACAGTTTGGCCCTTACATATTCTGCATCAGGGGTGGAGAGCCTTCACCAGCCAGATGCTTTGGACTGCGGCTCCTTCTCCAGCCCCAACTTGCCTGAGGATGATGGGAGGGGTGGTGGAAACAATCTGGAGGGCACAAGCTGCCCACCCCGATGTCAAGGATGCCTTGGCAGCAAGACAGGTGTGCCACCCTGAAAAACGGAGTCGAGGCCGTAATTCTCTCCCTCCTTCCAAGCTGCAGCAGATAATGGCCATGTAACTAGAAGCTTCATTAAGTTAACGTGAGCCGACCAGCCCAGCTTCAGCAGATAAGCGAAGTGCACAGCAAGGAAGAAACCAGCATGGTTAGCTATGGGTCCCTCTGGGGAAGAGGAGGCTTCCAAACCGAAAGCGGCTCTTCCTTCCCAAACTCCCACTGTTTCTTTTCTTTGCTGCCTCGATTCCGTCACAGGCTGATGTGGTGGATCTCCTTGCTCGAGGGGAAATTTCTCGGGGCACCTGGCCTGCCCTTTCTCGTGGATGCTGGGCTCTGGGGTTCAGGATGCCTGACCCTGCCTATTCCTCATTCGCGTGCTACCTGGTGTCTCCGGGCTCTACCTGATGCTGGCGGGTTTCACTCGCTGCAGCCTCTCTGCTGCAGATCACAGCCCTCCTCCTGCTCCTTGTCTAACTGGACCGTGTTCCCACATCCCCAGAAGGAAATTCTGCAGGAGTCACAGCCCAGTCCCGACACGAGGCAAGAATTCGAGCACAAAGAATACTCTGCGGACCGGCAAAGCCCCCAGCGCAAGTGCCCCTGGAGCCCCCCCAAGAGCAGTCTGGGGCCCCTCCCGCAGCAGCCCGTGGGTCTAGGCCCAGAGCGCTTACTTTTTGTACAGGAGGATTGCGATGACAATGCAGATGATGAACACCACCGCCAGGACGGGCCCGATCACCCAGATGAGCCCCTCCTCGCCTTCGATCTTCGGCTGGGGGTCTGCGTTGTCCACCTGGATGGGATCGGAGAAGGGGCTGGCCGCGTACACCTGGCAGCGAAGTCAAACAAGGGAGGGGAGGGAGGGCCTTGTGTAAGAAGACGGCAGGAGCAGTATCTGCATCCATCTCCTTGTGCGGCTCTTATTAGGGAGGGAAGAGCCAGAAAGAAGCGGCTTGTGATGGGGAATCAATTCGGCTCGCATGTAGGTCAGCTCTTATGCGTCGGAGCAGGAGAATTAAAGAGGGGAAATCGCACCTCCCGGACAGAATGTCCTCAGAGGGCTGGAAGGATGCCTGCCGGGTCAGATGGAAGGATCCTCCAGCCAGATGCCACAAGGGAAGCCCATGTGTGGAGAATGCACACATCGGCAACTGGTGTATGCAGACACACAACCTCTGCATATGGCCATCAGGGTGAGGAACCATAGAGAGCCCAATCCGCCATGGCCCAATCCCCTTTTAAAAGCTGTCCAAATTGGTGGCCACCATGAAGGCCAGCGTGAGGTTGTGGCTAACAGTCTGGGCCTGGAACTTAAGCAGTCTGGGTTTGAGTCCCTGCTCAGCCATGGAGCCAACTGGGTGGCTCTGGGCCAACCTCAGACTCAGCCCAGCCTACCTCACAGGGTTCTTGTTGTGAGGATAAACTTGAGGAGTGCAAGAAAATGGTGTGAGCTGCCTTGAGTTCTTGCAAAGGAAAAAGAAAGGGGGTATAAATCAATAGATAAATCCCCCCAAAGTGAATTCCACACTTTAACTCTATTCCATGCAACAAAACCCTAAATAATCTCTTTCCTGATTTTCCCACCAATCAGCTACTTTCCTGCCATGTCCACCATTTTTTAAACTAACACGTCCTAATTTTCAATGCTTTTTAAAAAAAACTGCTGTCCTGCCCACATTTTGCAGCCTTTCTGTGATATTCTTTAAGACCTTTGTCCTTGCAGCTGCTTCAGGTTCATTTCTGGATAATGCAAAGCAGAATATGAAATTAAGCAAGCTAACACTCTGTAAAACATTGTACTACAGTTAAGTATCACTTTCAGCTACCATTCAATATTCCTTGCTTGTTTCTTCAGCTCATGGACACTAATAGACAAGCTGTACAGTTGACAATGCAGCCCTGCCTGGAATACTCTTTCCCCCCATATTAAAAGGAACCCAGTAGATTCTATGGAGTGCAGTAGATTTCCGGCCCCATTGCAAGGACCTGGTGCTGATCCTTCATGTCCTAGTTTTGGTCCAAGTACCTAAAGGAACCGCTCCCACATACCAGCACAAGACTGCAAAGCACCTTGAAAGTCAGCCAGTCCAAGCCTGTCAAGAGACCTTAATCTACTTGGTGGTGAAGCTATGCCATCAATCTATCCATCAATCGATCAGTCAAGGATCTGGCAGCAACAGCACCTCGTGACAGATGCCGGCCCACGGTATTTTCAGACTGGAAGGTTTGGAATGTAGGAGAGCAAAGTGTAGCCTTCCAGCACCATCCTGATTTGGGTTCAAAAGAATAGTGCCCCATCGCCACCGCAACTTTGGATTTAAGAGCTTGGGTAGTTGCTTTTCTTTTAGTTGCTGAGAAATGAGTGTTTTGTGGCTGGATAGGCCCACCCTCAGCAACCTTATTATTAGCAGGCAAGCTACCCTGTGGCAGCCATTTTGAGAGGGTGCTCATGACTCACCCAGAATTCTGAGTGTGCCCCCTCTGTCTCAATCTGCCCGAGTGGGTGCACAATCGAAATGCCCCTCCTTCCACCCAGGCAGTTGAGAGGGCACTAATGTTGAGGAAAATTACAAGTTTCTATCAAGTCAAGAGCAGCATGACATGAGTGGAGGTGGCCAGAGCCAGGGGTCAGACTAGATGGCCTGGGAGACCCCTTCTAACTCACTCTGTTTCTATCTCTTTCAACAGAAAGAAAAATTTGCCTGGAACTGCACTGGTGTGAGGCAAGATCCCTTTGATTCTCCAAGGCCTTTTAGGGTATTTTAGAATCCGATCTCTCATCCTAATTCATGCTTTGTCCAGTTGTTCCGTTTTTTGAAAATGATGCTTGTACTTCATCATTCATTTCTGGTTGGCCTGTTTTGCGGAAGGTGGCATATAGGTCCCCTACGAAATAAAAGTAACACCCGAAGGTGGAACATTTTGGCATTACTTTTAATGGGGAGCAGAATGCAAAAGGGCCTTTGCGAGGTCTAAGCTGACCTGGAACCTCTTTGTTGATGGGAGGAGCGCAAGCGCCGCACCCTTGCAGTGGCCCACAGAGCGGCACGGCTTCTCTGTTCTTGGCAGCCTTAGCCATCACCCTTAGGGGGGGCAGGTGGGAGCCCTGGTCGCACAGCTAACGGGTGGCAGGGAGTCGCAGGCCACAGCACCCAGAGGGCCTCAGAGCTCGGAGCTGAGCTGGTACATGTGTGTCCAGGACTCAAACAACATGAAAAGGACACCTCTGCATTCTAGCCATGTGCAGAATGCTCCACTGTGCACAAGGAAGAATGTTTCCATGAATCAGGGCACAACACGCAACACACTGGAGCTTCCCGCAGTGAGGAAACGTGGAGACTGGGAGGAGACTCACAGCCTCGCTGGCGTGCAGCACAGCCAGGACGAACATGACGTATTTCTGCCCGGCCTCCAGGGCTCTGTTCTCAAGCCCCTCGTAGCGCTTCATGTCCCCCAGGACGAAGGAGGAGGGCAAGGAATGGAAGCGGGCTGCGATGTACGGCTTGCGCGGGTCCAGCTGGCGGGAGTGGCGGAGGCTACGGCGCTGCAGTCTGGAGATCTCCTGAATCAGCTGGGGAAACAGACACATGCGGAGCATGAATCAGAGAGGCAGCGCACAGGAGAGAAAAAGGGAAGGAGGCCGCAAGGCCCGAAGAGCGGGAAAAGAACGTGACCCTCTTTCTCATCTGCCCGCTGCCGAGGGCGATCTGGCCGAGCTGAGAGGAGAGGAGGCCTTTCAGTGGTGATCGCGTCCTTGGAGGCCTCTCAGGCTCCTGCTTCAGGAAGGCTCAGGAGTCCCAGCATGTTAACTTGGCTCTAATATGTTATCACATGCCTGTTTATGCCCCATTTGTATTGTTTTTCCCCTTATCAGGCATGCCACCCCAAAATAATTGCAAATAAATATATGAAGGGATGGAGGAAAGAAGCCTGCAGGTGGCACAGAAGCACTGAGTCAGGTGTGTTGTGAAAACAAAAATTCTCTTTCTAAGCAGCTCTGACCCATGAGGAAGATTCACATCCAACGGTCTGGAGGCAAAGGAGGTATTTGTGCTTCCAGTGCTTGCGGGTGAAGACCTGCAATTTGGAAGGCATAGCTCTCAATGAACCTGTTAGATGGGTACCAAATACACCCCAGAGCACATCATCCTCAGAAGTCTGCTCTGCCCACAGATTCTGAATCGAATCCCCTCCAGAGGGACAGGATGCTGCATTTTCTTGATCAACTGATTTATTAAGAACATTTCTACCCCATCTTTCCCCAGAGTCTTAGGACAGAGCTATGGCAATAACGCACAACACATAAAAGCCATTTTAAAAACAGCATCGGCACTTGAAATACTGGGAAAATAAAAAGGGTTTGGCCTGGCGCCGAAATGAATAGTGTCAGCGCCAGGTGCACCTCTCTAGCGAGCATGTTCCACAGCCAGGGGCCACCACAGAGAAGGCCAGTCTTCTGATCTCCTTCAAAGAGGGCTCCTGAAGAAGGACCCCCGACCTGGATCTATTAGGGGGTGGGCAGGTATATATGGAAGGAGATGTTCCTTCAGATACTAGGTCCTAAACCATTTAGGGCTTTATAAGTCATCATGAACACCTTAAATTTGGCTCCAACATTCAATTGGAAGCCAGTGCAGGTGGTAAAGAACCAGTATGATATGTGCAAATCCATCGGTTCCTGTTACCATCCCGACTGCTCGATTCTGGACCAAACGAGGTATCTGGACCATCTTCAAGGCCAGCCCCGTGCAGAGCACATTTTGAGCACTAAATTCCTCTGGAAAGGCACAGAATACACAGGCAGGGAAAAAGGAGTTGCTCTGTAGCAGCGTGCGGCATGTGCCGTGTGGAGGAGATGCCCTTTAGGCTGCTGGGTTCTTTAAAGAAGGGACGGACTTGTGGTCCTCCCCATGACAGAGTGATTTCTCCCTCCTGTCCGCCAGAGAGGGCTTGGAAAACTTTTCGCTGGGGTGTTACATCCTTGAACAGGGCTTTGGGTTACAACTCCAATAATGCTTTACTGCTTTCCCATATGTTCCATGACACAACCACCAGGTGGCACTGCAGCCCAAGGGAACCGTGAAAATACACCAGCTTCTCATTCCGGTTGGTTCCACCATTTCCCAATAATACCACACTTTCCCCAGTGTGCAAGCAAGTGGAGGAAGTGGCTGCAAAGACAAAGGAGCCCTGCAGGAGGGCAGTTCTGTGCAAACCTGCCAGGAACGACCATGAGTGGAGAATCATGAGCACACAATGAATGCTGGGTGAAGAGAAGCACATGACTGTCTGCAGGGGGCAAGGCTTCTCCATTTCAGTCCTAAGGGGTGAAGACTGGAGGAAATTTCCATGCTGTTTTGCAGGGTGCGTACATCGATCTATGCAAGAGGCATTGCTGGGTGGATGGCAGAAGGTCAATTTGCCCGAGAATGCCAAGTTTTGAATCAACCTCTCCCTTAACACCTTGAAATCTATCTTTAAAGAAATGGCACTGAAGTGCTTTTGACAGCTGACACACCACAGTGCAATTATATCTGTAATTTCTGTCCTTATTGTGAAGGGTTTTAGCAAACAAAACCACAATACGGCTGCTGAAATAGCGATGGCTGGAAAGACAGTGGTGTTGATTTTTTCCAAAAAAGGCAGTGCTAAAACCCTTTTTCATTGAAGCATTGTTGCCTTAGCATTACAATACGAACATAAAGAAGCAGCAGTAGCCACAATGGACTTTTAGCAAATATTAAAAGAGATGTGCATGGAACAACAGAAGAAATGCATGCCTGGAAGACCGCCGATGCAGTCTGCCCATGAACAGTGAGTCAACACCGAGCGCTACCGCGCAAACCAGCCAAATGCCCCATTTGATTTCATTTCTGTAGTGCTCAAGAGCTAAAAAATCGAGTCCCAAAACACAACATGGTAAAAATGTAGCAGAAAAACTTCCGCATGCAAAGATGTTAAATAATTTAAAATGGCAAGGAATACAACTGAGAACGAAATACCAGAATTTCCTAGGGGACATTAAAAGCCGCACTGGAGGCCTCAGAGTGGAAAAATGCCTTAACTTGGTGCTGAAAGATGAGCATTTTGGTACCAGGTAAATCTCAGTGGGAAAAGTATTCCCATGGGGGGGGGGGGCGGGGGGGCCAGCACAGACAAGGCCTTTCCTTATTATCTTCCAAACCTCTCTCAGAGAACCTGGGTGGGTCCCTCCATTCCAGGGATAGGCAACTCCGTGCATTTGGTATTTAAAATGCAGCGTAATGGCACGCAAGCCAAGAGGTCTAACTGGGACTGGGGGTGGGGGGGGGGGCTCTTAAACATGCAGAGCATGTCTTGACCATCTCTAAGCAACGGAGGAGTCTTTGCACCTCGGCCTGGATCAACCTGTCCGGGACCATGAGATGTTCCAAGCAAGCTGGGCCTGAGGGGACAGACCTGCACTGACTTCCCTGCTCCTTTCTTGCACTCACCTCTTCCAAGTCCATTTCCTCAGGGCTGCTGTACGGGTTCTGGAACTGGCCACTTCTGGACTTCTTCAGAGGGACAACCACAATATAATAGGCCCTGATTAGCCAAGAGAGACCGAGAGTGAGATCAGAATGCAGAACGAATAACGAAAAGAGAGAGTACTTCACATGCAATCTGCAAATGGGTATTTGCATCATGAATACAGGAACATGTGGGCTGCTTTTCCTGAAGTCTGCGTGTGATTATTTTTAATAAAGCATTATTTAATAAAGCACTAATACACAGGGATCTACCTACTTACCCACCCACCTATCCATCCATAACTCATGCTATGACTCCTTTGCAATCCCATCCCCACACTTTAATGCTTTGATTTATTCTATCCTCCCCTCTCCCCTGCTTCCGTGTGATGTGGGCTGCCTTCATCTTCATTGTGCACAATAAAAACAAATTAAGAAAAGGAGAAAAGCGAAGAGAGAAGAGCCCTTCCAGCCAAGAAGTAGAAAGAAATGCTAGAAGGAGTGTGGAGGCTGAAGGTGCAGGCGACCATCCTGTGTGGTCGCCTTGCTTGCCCCCCTCCTGCAAACCTCTTTGCGGCAACCTCTGGAGCAGAGCTGCAGAAACTCGCATCCAGGAGCCTGGCAGGATGGATCTGGGCCACCATGAGCAAGTGAGCAGCCAGGAGAAAGGAGAGCCAGTTCTGCTTGGCTTTCCCTCTCCCTCTGGGGTGGATTGGGCCCAAATGGGCACAAATATGGTGTAGTGAAGCCATAGGAGGAGGAGGAGGAGGAGGAGGAGGAGGAGGAGGAGGAGGAGGAGGAGGAAGGAGGTGGTCCCCAAGGGATGCCATCGTGTTGCACAGTCAGCCACACACTTTCCCCCAATTATTCATTCATTTCCTGGCTTTGGTGCACTCAGAATGCTTCTCCTGATGCGAAAATACCATCAGGAAGAGCTTCAAGTCGCAGTGGACTGTATCTCTGGCCCCGATTCCTTTGCCTCCGCCCTGCCCGCTTGCCCGGCCTTTTACGTACTGTGCCATGGCCTCCGAGCCCTTCACCTCCGGCAGGTTCACCACCACGCTGCCGTCGATGTCGTGCCGGTAGGACAGCTCCGGCTTCCTGCTCAGGACGTTGGCTGCGGTCAAGACCTCCACCTTCTGCTGCAGGTCTCCCTTGTCGCTCTTCCGGCCGGTCAGGGAGAAGGTGTACAACGTCTGGGGCTTCAGGTGGGTGATGAGCTTCTTGGTTGTCCGCCCATCCACCTCAATCTCCTGGCCGGTGTTCTCATGCTGGATCTGAGAAAGTCAAAAGGCAGAGCAGCGTGGCATGCAAGGAGCTGCGTGCACTGGAGTGCAGACAAGGCGATCCCCGATCCCCCTCTCCCAGCAGCCTGTGCCCCATGCTGGCCACCCAGATGCCTCGTGGGAAGGACACCACATCCAGCTCCTGGGCTTCATTCCCAGGCCCAAGGCATTGGGATGGTCTGTCCATGTGGGGCTTTGGTGTGCAGTTTAAAGGCGCTGTCCCTAGCGTGGCATCCCGTTAAGGGAAGAGGGTCACCTCCAGAGATACTCTAGAATTCAATGTGGATGTGCCACTCCACAGATGCTGAAGCCCTCAGCCTCCAGCTATGTGCAGGTAGATTGTTTCTGGACTTGGAGGTTCAATTTAGCAACTCTGGTTAATAGTTAAAGACACGAGATGAGCTTCATAAGGAGAACTCTGCTAGGCCAGATCAAAGCTGCATCTAATCCAGTATCCTCCTTCCCACAGTGGACAGACAGACACTGTGAGAAGCCCACAAGTAGTGTAATTTTGCTCTGGAGGAGCTGAGATTCAAATGCGTGAAGCCATCATGACTAATTATATGCATCTGCCTCTCCTCCTTCCTTGGAAGTGTTTAATCCTCTTTTAAAGCCAGATATAACTGAAAGGATACTGCCACGGCATGGGGCGGAGCTAGCTGCATCCATTAATTAAGGGCTGGGGAAAGCTAAGAGGCCTAAAATGCTTTTATTTCTGGCTTTTATTTAATGCCTCCCCCTGTACACACATGTGTATGTACACACACACACACACACACAAAGAGAGAGAGAGAGAAAATACATATATATGCATGTATTTCATTTAAGCGAACAGCAGCTATGGATAAACACACTCTTGGGAAATTAATGTGATAATGCTAGTACTGTTTTTAACTGCTGTTCTGGCAGTTTATAAATCAAACTCTCATTTCTTAACAAATCTGTCAGCGAATTTATGGCTATTTTTCTAAAATATAACTATGTTTTAAAAATATGTCCAGAGGCAGAATTGGCACCTGACAAACTTGGCAAGCAGGGTTTGCCAGAAAAGGTCGCACTGGGTGCAGTTACTGTGGCTTCTCCTTTTTTGCGTTGTTCCCAGTTCCAGCCAGCCAGTCAACTATGCCCTTTTACAGAGATTCCATTACATCCTCCCTGCCCCATGGCTGGGTATTCCCTCCCCTCCCCTCCAAGAGTTACCCAGTATTCTGCAGTTGCCGAGCATATATCCCTGGTCCTTTTAGGGTTTCCCCACCTGATAAAGGTTTTCTTTCTGCACTTCTTCAAACCTTGGTAATCCCAGACCTGTTTCTTATGTCCTTGTTTTGGGAGGTAAGCAAGGAAGATGGGGGGGGGGGTGGAGACCCAGCTTTGAGGGATGACTGAAGGGTTTGCCAGAAGAGGACAAAGGATTAGGAGGAGAGATGAATGGCCCCCTTACAAAGGAGACGGCAAACCTGCTTTCTGTCACTGCAGGGCAGCCTTCGGGAACCTTTCTGATCCTTGGACAAATTCACCTTCTTGGGGCTGTGTCCCAGTGAAGGATTCAGCCCAGGCCAAAAGGTGGGTGGAGGGGACTCAGTTCAAAGGACCAAAGGTGAAAGGGTGTTGCCAGAAATGCAAAACACAACTCTAGCCCACCACAGCTTAATGCTCTTATTCCCAATAACTAAGCAGAAAGAGACACGATTTATCCATTTAGAACAGGGAACAAGCTGCACAAAGGCCAGGAAACTACCTAATGGTCTCGGCTGGGGAAAAGGGATGTCGCCACGTGGGGAAGCCCCAAAGATACAGTCTTGGTTCTCGGAACCCCTGTCTGCCCCAGAGGGTGGCTGAAGAATGAGAGATGCTGAAGAATTCCTGCTCTTCCAGCTTTTAGGACTGATAACTGTTTGTGGATTCTTCCAACTCATCGATTCATAGTTGGAGTTTGTTATGGCCAGTTGGGTTTATAGAATGTACCAGCCATTCCCCAGCCTGGTGTGCGGAGATGTTTTGGACTGCCACTCTCAGCCGGCTGTGCTAGAATGATGGGAGCTGTCATTCCACACCTCTGTAAACAGCCAGGCTGGGGGACCAAGCAACGATAAATCAACCACCATCAGTACCTTGTACGAAACGGGAGAGTTGTAGTTCTCAGGGAACTCCCAGCCTAGCAGAACCGAAGTTTTGGTGACCATCTTCACTTTGAAGTTTTTGGGGAAAACTGTTGGAAAGAAAAGCATTGAGGGAAAGGAGAAATCACAATGGGGGGAGGAGGAGGATCTGCATTCCCCCATCTGGGAGGCATCTCTCGCACTCACCCCAGCTCGCTACCCCCCGAATGAGGTGCCGTCTGTCTTTGCAACCACCCCACACTCAGTCTGTGCAGGGGATGGTTATCCCCGCAAACCCACGGCCCTGCTGACAAAAACAATCTATGCAATCTGAATGGCTGCTGAGGAGAAAGAGACTCTGTGCGGGTTGTGTTCATTTGGGGGGTGTTTTTCCCCTGTTCACCTTCCCCTTCCCCTGCTTGTGGCTTGCAAAAAAAAGAGAAGGGGAGAGAGAGAGAGCGAGAAAGAGCAAGCGAGAGAGAGAGAGAGAGAGAGAGAGAGAGAGAGCGAGCTGAAGAAAAGGCTCCGCCCACCTGTGAGAACGACTGCTCCGCCCAGCTGTCAATCAAGAGGGACTGCCCGGACTGGACTTGCAGAAGAAAGGTGAAAAGGGACTTACCTGCCTTTCATTTTAATTTCATGGTGTTTGTTTTTAATGTACTCACACGCCCGTCTTCCAGCCGGTGTGGCGCTAGTGGCTATGTGCTTATGTGGGTGGGTGTTTGCATGTTTGCTTCTCTGCCTCTCGCAAGCAGCTCCCGATACACGGGGAGAGACCCAGAGCAGAAACTGTCAAGTCCTACCTTGGTCCAGAAGGAATGTCTTGTATTGCACGGTTGGGCTGTAAGGCCCGGGACCTTTTCTGGTGTGGGCGCGGATTTTAACATCGTAGGCGGTGTTGGGTTTCAGACCGTTCAGTGTGTAGGAGTTCTCGGGAGATGGGGAAAGCTCTTTCTCTTGCGGGGCCCCGGAAGAAGCTGCCTCCCGGTAGGCGACGGTGTACTTGACGATCATCCCGTTCCGCTCGGCCAGGACAGGGGGCAGCCAGTTGAACTGCATCGACCTGGAGGTGATGTTGCTTGCCTCCAGGATTTGGGGGTAACCCTTGGGCACGTCTTCCGGGATGGCGATTTCCTGCACAGCTTCCTCGCCGAAGCCGGCCCGGCTCTTCACAGCCAGCTTGAAGACATACGTGGCGCCCCGGTGAATGCTGGTGGCGACGTACTTATCCTCCTGGGCCGTGAATTCCAGCGTGGACAAGGGGGCGATGTCTTGGCGGCCGAACTGCAGTCGGTAACCCAGGACCTGGCCTTCGGCGTCCATCGGAGGTTCCCATTTGACGAGGAGGGCATTTTCTTGGGTTGGGTGGACAGACAGGATTGGCTTTCCAGGGACTAGGAAAAAAGACAAGGCGCCCCTTGCTTTTAGAAAAACCATTTCCCGCCCAGACCCACAGCGCCGTTTATGATTACAACCACATCTCTGCTACAAGAAGCATGCAAAATATTGAGATTATTCCTAAACTTTGCATCTCCGTTTCCCCAAAATGCAAATTCCTAGCTGTTCTATGGCGTGGGGGGGCATGGGGGGGAGAAATAGGGCACTTGCAAATGCAACATGGCAGTTGCCTTTTACCCATAATGCCACAGAAGCGTGGATCTTCCAGAGCAGTCTTTCTCAACCTGGTCTCGTCCAACTGTTCGGAACTCAGCTTGGCCAAAGGCTGGGCACGGAAGTCCAGTGGTCTCAGTGGGCCATCGAGCAGGCTTGCACTGGCCCTCCCCCCACCACAAAATAATTTACTTTGAAGTGCGTCGGGGGTTGAGAGGCAGGTGGGCTTTTTCTCCCCCTGAAAACACACGCGGCTCGGCCTGCCCCGTCCTCACCGGGATCAGACCAAGCCCACGCGCGGTGCTCCTCCTCCTCTCCAGAGCCTGCCACCCATCAATTTCCTTGCAACATCCCAGTTCGACTTTTGCGGGGGAGCTAAAATTGATCTCAGTCTAGTTTCTTGCTGACATTTTCTTTTAACTATCTTTTTTCCCCCAAACAAAAAATGCTATTCCTGGGAGGGAGTTGTTAGTCTTTTGATAAACCAGTTTGCTCTTTACTGTGCCTCCCCAGCAAAAATTTTGTTGCACTTGACCTTTCAGTCAGTTCCTTTCCAGATGACAGAGTTTGCCTTTTTCACTGCTTTGCACACTGGGTCAATGGTTAATGTTCACACCTAGACACCAAACCTCATCTGTAATTTGGCTCCCCCCACTTAGGGGATCCCTTTGCAGCTCTTGCGAGTCCAAATTTGGGACTCCCCCACCCTGCATAATTTGGCATCATCCACAAATCTGAATGCATCCCTGCTCAGTCCCGATTCCAGGTCATTTACGAGAACTTGGATAAGGCCCAGCCTCATCCCAGGTCTCTTCCTTACCCCATTCCATGGTAGGAATGGCTTATTCAGTTTTGGGATGAGTAAATTGCGGCTGGCCGGCCATTTGCCCACCGGCTATGGTGGCTATGGCTTTTCAGGGAAACTTGCAACATTTTGTTCACGGCCAACAATTTCCTCTTTGCGTTCCTAACTCAACTTGGTGGCAGGTCAAATCTTTTTATCACCTCGGTTTGACTTAGTTCCTCAGGTGTCATGTCATCCAAAAGACACGCTTATCTTCCCCGGAGAAGACCAGCGCAAAGAACTGGCTCAGCTTTTCTGCAGCCTCCCAAACCTCTTCAGCACCCTCTGCTATTGTAACACACTTGATCTCATCTCTGGATCGTTTCCCATTTCTGATCTATTTAAAGCCTCCAATCCTTTACCTTCATAAACCTCATTGAGGCATTATATCTAAATCCGGAACAGGG